TATAAAATACTGCTATGCAAAAATTTACGGTGATTCAATATTGTATGCGCACGCAACGTCCGCTCAAAGTTTGCACGTGCGAAAGGTGAGAATTTTGCTCATTCGTGATTTCGAATAAATTCTGCTTTCCCGCGATATTTAAATGGAATTATATATGAATTTAATGCCAACTTGAATGAGTAAAAAGTGCCATATTTAGTCAGGTAAAATTTTGAAATCGATGAAATTACCTCCTAATTATTAATATAGATATTAATGAAGTTATTAGTTTACATTTCGGCTTTGTAAATTATCCTGACATTATAATCAAAAAGAGATGATATTTGACCAAAACCCATAATCATGGGTAGAGTGTACCGCTGCCACTGTCTCTCTTTTCCAAACAAAAGGAAATGATATTAATTTGAATAACCGTCCGCAAATGCAAATTGATACCGAGAATGAAATCGGTCGCTCGCTTTTTCCATTCGATCACTGCTTACGAATTGTAATTGGTAATAAAGCTTATTGATTAGAAAAAGCGAGCGACCGATTTCATTCTCGGTATCAATTTGCAATTTGCATCAATTTACTGGCAGCGGTACACTCTACCCATGATTATGGGTTTTGGTCAAATATATATATATAGATATCACGACAATCTGTCGTAAAACAGGGGTTCTAGAAAACCCACTTCCCGATGTTCCTGAAACCTGAAACTTTTTTTGCAGTCGATTTGGTCAACGTCTAGACGCCCTGAAAAATTTCAGATCTCTAACTCGATTTTAACATGGTTTTTAAGGCACCTGAATATGGCGATTTTGGGTTTTTTACCGAATTTCGTATAACAGTGCTGGCGAGTATTTTATGCAAATTTCTTAAAAATCTCAACATAACTATTTTTTATTCCTGTCATCTTTGACATCAAATTAGAATGTTTTGAACTAAAAATAAATCTGCTGAACGACTTCCGATGAGTCTTAATGCCTGAAAAACTCCTGCCGGAGGCGGCGGCCTTCGGCCGGAGTGCACGCTTCGCGTGCACGAAAGAGGCTTGTAACGTGTACCAAAGGGGGTATAATAGTAAAGGGGGTATAATAGTAAAGGGGGTATAACAGTAAAGGGGGTACATAGTATACCCACAATAAATGCACCGGTCGTGCTTGCCAGCACTGTGATATATATTCAGGGATAGACGCTTTGCCAGTCAATTGTACCCTGTATTTAGGTGTCCATAGATTCAAAAGTATAAAAGATACAGCCATTTCCGACCACAGGTCTTGCGAATAATTGTTTATACTTTAGTTTACATTGTGTAAAAAAATTATTTGACGTCATAAACACCCCTTGATGACGTCATCAAGTTAACCGTTTTTAAAACTTGATTTTTGACAAAGTAATAACTTTTAAAATTAATTTTAAACCATTAAGGAGTAATTTTATTCAAAATCTGAGGAAATTTTTATCTTAGATAATTGTTCAAGCATTCTGAAAATCTACCGGAAAGTTTTTCCAGCTTGCTCCTTCATAAAGATATTCGTCATTGAAGTTTGTGCTTTTTTGAAGAATTATTTTATAAAAACGTCAATTTTGCGATTTAGTATTCTCTGGTGTTGGGCCATATGCCTTGGGTTGTGGAGCTCAGTTCTGCTTCCTATAGGTATAAATTGTGCATTAGGCTAGTTTTAAAGTTGAAAATCGAAAAGTTGCACACGTGGGGACACGCCCAAATTGATAGAAAATCGCTAAAATCACTGAAAATTGCTGTTTTCGTCATTTTCTGTAAACTTTAGAGTGCCGTTGTGATTACAGTTCTTCTTGAAATACTTTGAAACTTTGCATGCTTATCAAGCTATATATAAAACAATTCCATGCAAAAATTTACGGCGATTCAATATTGGATGCGCACGCAACGTCCGCTCAAAGTTTGCACGTGCGAAAGGTGAGAATTTTGCTTACTCGTGATTTCCAACAAATTCTGCTTTGCCACGACAGTTTAATGTCATTATATATGAATTTAATGCCTACTTGAATGAGTATTAAGTGGCATATTCAGTCAGTGATCGACCGATATGCTTCCCTAAACACAAGGAAATGTTTTTAAAGGAAAAATTTCGAAATTGTTGAAACTTCCTCCTTATTAATGAAGATATCAGTTTATATTTCGACTTTATAAAGTACCCTGACATTATAATCAAAAAGGGATGATATTTGACCAAAACCCATAATCATGGTTAGAGTGGACCGCTGTCAGTGTCTCTCTTTCCCAAACAAAAGGAAATGTTATTAATTTGATTGACCGTTCTCAAATGCAAAATGATACCGAGAATGAAATCGGTCGCTCGCTTTTCCCATTCATTTACAATTGTAAATGTAATAGATTAAGAAGAACTACCCAAAGGCAGCTGTACTCGGCAATGAAGATTCAATAAAATGGGAAAAGCGAGCGACCGATTTCATTCTCGGTATCATTTTGCATTTGAGAACGGTCAATCAAATTAATATCATTTCCTTTTGTTTGGGAAAGAGAGACACTGACAGCGGTCCACTCTACCCATGATTATGGGTTTTGGTAAAATAAGTTATCCTGAAAACCACATAATATTAAACGCAGGTGCAGCGAAGAAGGAAAATGTTAGAACTAATTGTTGTTTTAACTATTTAAATTTTGTTTTTTTTATGATTCCTGAAGTGGAGCTATGAGTACCGTGACGCTGATTTAAATCGCTAGGTAATTTTTGGGCCCCCTTCCCCTCCACCAATGGCAATAAGTTAGGAAACTTTAAAGACCCATACCTTTTGGAAGACAGTATAAATAAATAAATTATAACTCATTACATTTTCAGTTAAATTTTAGCTTTTGTAGTGCGCTTCCTGCTATCGATATTTACAATTTTTTTGTTTATGTTAACTTGTTGGAGTGCTGCTAGGTATGAACATGCTACTGCTAGGAAGTACCAAATTATGTCAACAATTATTTTATTGAAATCTTTCAAATCAGTCAATTACATACAAGTTTACACAATGAATTAGTTAAATATAATATTGTCCTCTAAGCGTGGATTGTCAAAGTTGAAATTGTCTCGGACAAAATGTATGTAACCAAAGGACCTGAGGGTCACCAAAACACAGATATTGAGTGCAAATGCAGCTCCTGCACAAGCATGGGCCCTAATGATATCGATTAAAATTTGTTTAACGTTTGATACAGTCCTGAATTGTTGTGTTGTACCACTTACCATGCAGTGGCGAGCATTACGTTGTTTTTTACCTTTGTATGAATTTTGCGTATATTCGTACATTTAATTAATTGATGTTTAATTTGATTAATTAGACGAAAACCAGACGATGATCCGATTTCATACTTATTTCATAGTTTTTATTTTGATTTCGCTTCCATATTTTTCCTACTGTGGCAAACACTTTTATGTTCTTCTCTATTGAAATTGTGGTGTTACAATTGCAATTTAATTAACAATGGTAATTCATATTCAGGAGGTTCTGAAATTTCATGGAAACATTTGATTTTTATATATATTATACCATTTTTGTATAAACCAAATTTTATAGGGAAATGGTCAGATCGCTGTTACTACTAGCCAGTTTAGTGGCACTGAGCTATGCGTTAACCTGTAAATCATGCACCAGTTCAATCAAACGGCTACCAAACGGTCACCCGTTTGGTAGCCGTTCAGAAGAGGACCTTCAGTGTGTCACGAAAACATGCGAATCTGACGAAGATATCTGCGCATACGGATACGCTACTGTCGGCTACAAAACTGCTTTCTCTCTGACTGAAGAAGAGGAGGATGCACCAGAGGTTGATATGGAAATAGTAATTGACTGGATGAAAGATTGTGGAAAGTCTGCCGAAGTCAAGTGTGAGAACCTAAAGGATATGATGAAATTGGAACTAGGTGCAGATAGCAAAGTATCCGTGTCAAAATGCGACATGAAGACCTGCACCACCGATAACTGTAATGATAAAACGGTTGCAGAAATAAACCCAGACCCCATTGAAGAAATTGTCTGCTACACTTGCAAAAAGAGCACTGTTGATGGAAAAGCAAACCCTGATACAGAGGATCCAGATCAGCCAGAATGCTCGGAGAGCCACAAGGAAAAGTGTCCTTATGGAACAGAGTTCTGTTTGTCAGGTAACATGGTGGCGACCATGGGAGGACAAGAAATGGAATTGGAATATATCAAAGAATGCGGCAGTGGTCCGATGAGGAGTTGTGAAGCATACGAGGAAACGCTGAAAGATTATCTTGGAGCAGATTCCGTGAAAATTGCATCTTGTAACATCAATGCCTGTGAAGGAAATCTATGCAACACCATGACTGCCGCTGAGGTCAAAGCTTACAGCAGTGGAACAACTCATGGGTTGAGCTGCTTCTTGGCTTCCTTACTCGTCTACCTTTGGGTTTAGGGGTCACTTGAGCATATAGAATTACCGTTTGTACGTGGTAGATAATCAAAATTCTACCATCTTCACATAGCAGAATAAAGTTTTATAATTCTTCCGAAACTGAATCCTTAACAAAAAAATTGTTATTGCTATTTGAATTTTACCTAGCCAATAAAAGTGCAATCTTTTAGAATTAATTCCGAAATTATCTCATTTTTTCTAATATTGGAAGGTAGATACACCACGTTCACAATGTTGTAGGTTATGATAAATTCATAACTAGAGACCCTTTATAATAATAATTTACAGAGTTGTCTTGTGAACTCTACCCCAGATCTAGCCCATTTCTAGGTCAATTATAATTTATCCATGGATCACATCTCTAATTAATCAGTTAATCGTCACTAATTGGGGACCGGATCAGTTTGGTTATATCCCAAGTCGGCCACCGTCTCAAATCTTCTATAATATCAGTATAAAAGTTTTTTGTTTGCACGAAATTTTGTAAAGCTTGGTTCCTTTAAAAAGTTAAAAGTTCAAAATAACCCACAGCTATGCACGCAATGTATATATTGTACGTATCATCTCTTCATAACTTAAAATCACTTACTTGTCTACGTCGAGTTGCCTAGACCAAGGTTGAGTGACGAAGTTTAGCCGCCTCCTTAATCCGAATAGGTAAAACATATTGACCAAGGTGGAAGTGCCACATTTGTGAGTCTTAATGAACAAAAAACTGTCATCTTTTCCTTTGGGTACCTGAAGCCCTTCTCCCACTATTTTGAATCCTTGCAATCCTGATTCCTCGTTAGTTTCATCAGTAGGTATAGGTTCCGTAGTGGGGGATTCTGTGGCAGATTGGGGCTGTAAAGGAGCTATCACGTTAATTCTGGAGCCAGGATGGTGTTGTTGATCTGGCAGGTGGCGGTTCTCAAGAGAGATAATATCTTTGCTGATAAGAACAGGGGGATCTCCTGAAGATTCGGAGAGGTAGCTGGTGATGAGGTGGAAGAAAGTCCCAAAACAGACTATTAGGACAACTAATGAGAGGAGTCTGTCCAATCTACCGACGCCCATAATTCTCATTTTGGATGGCAATGATTGTTTTCTCCGGAGCTAGTGTTGTTTACAACCAACCTTGTTGTGAGTCTGGCTATCTGGGGTTTAAAATTGTGGCATTAAGAAATGGAGATAATGGAGTAAACAAACTTGTTCAAACGCTTACAAATTCTCAAAGGTAACTGATTGTGTACATTTTCTGAAATGCTAGATAAAAATACAAGGCGTCCCAAAAAAGGTGACCAAACGATCACTGTTAATATTTAACTCTAAGAACGGTTTGAAAACGTAAATTATGATTTACATTGGCTGTATGTTAAATTGTGGTATATTTTTAATTGTCCAATATCTAGCTCAGTTTTAATGCTATCGGCTTGTACTGCTTGGCGAAGATCGTGCGATTCTGAGCTTGGATTACATCATTTGCAATTGCAGACCTCACATGAGTCGTGTAATGACTAATGAGCAATTAACAGATCATTATAAGATTATACCCACAATTACATAACTAGCTCCTTGACACTTAGACAGGGTAAACCATCGTTGTACAGCTACTAAATAAGCTAAAGCCTTGTTATTTTAAAGTTCGACTCTGTTTTAGATTCTTAATACAATGTAATTCAAACGGTGATATGTATAAAACTCGGCAGCAGCACCATAAGCTATTTAAGCCTCTCGGGGGAAACAAAAATTGCACACTATTGAAAAACGTGGAATAAAGAGGTTCACATGATCCCAATCCCCGGTATATGTAGCCTCTAAAACCTGGCTAGCGTCTCATATGTAGCCCACTTTTAGGCTTTATATGCATGTATAGTGCGTATTGTCATGGATTACAGCTGACAGCTCGACGTGTATGAAAAGCACCACCAAATGCGATATTATGAGCTACGAAACATTACATTTCTTGCACAAATTGGTCAATTAAAGGTTAATTAAAAGTTTGGGGGGAAAGATTAGGTCCGGTATATCGAGGTGCCCGATAAAGAGAGGAGGTTCGATTGTAGAAGAATATGTGCAGAATGAAAATGGAATACCGATTCTAATATATATGACTATAAAACAGCAAGTGTAATACAGTCCACATAAAACAACAACAACGTGACGAAGCTAGCAAGCTAGGGGCCGACTTCCTTTTTATGTGGAGTTCGGCCACGGTCCTTTCGGTACAGATTTCCCTGCAGCATAGTCGGTACGCAAGTCATATGCACTCGTGTTATGTAATGCTCTATCTAATAGTAATACTATCATGCTGCGTAAACTATATAAAGTTCGAACTGATCTTTGTATATTAACATTAATTTGGTATCCTCCATTTTTGATGAGGGATATTGCCATACGTAGCAAAAATCAGTTTGTTTGCATATTCGGCATCATGAAAAATGAACACAAATGCGTCACTATGCATGCTTAAAATACAATCTCTAAAGAACTGGAAACTCACTGGACTAAACAAACAATTATTGAATTAAAACTACACGTCAATTATGGCTACGAGAGTGTAATTATAATAAAAAACGGGGCTAACTCTGCGTACAAACTATAAAGTTAGTACCGTAGCCTCATGAGGACACGTCTTATACTATAAAATTGTCAGTAGCAGTTGACCACATCCGATGTACCAACACTACAAGCTTGTATATCGAATGTAAGTGACCGTTGTTATGGAACTGCGTACCTTATAGGACTGATCCTGAGCCGAAAGGACCGTGTTTAGTGTTCAAAATGTCTTGGCTTGGTGGGATCATCAAAATATGATATGAATGCATACATTCGCTGTTTCAATATTGTTGCTATAACATTTATATATATATAAACGTTTTCTTAAAGTTAGTTAACATTATTGTTAACAATTTATATTTATACCTTTTATCTTTGTTCGGATAACCCCTAAAGACCAGTTCATGGGCCTCCTCTGAACAACATAGTTAAACTTCTGCCTCGGCCTCACTCCTGCCAGATAAAATGCGTTCACCAGAGTTGACATCGGAAAATCCGGAGGACACTGCGAACCAGGAATCAATTACAAGGCTATCATCGCTCGATAATCGGTTTGGTATTACTTATTTTGATTTTCCGACTTTAAAGCTGATTAATTCTAAAGAAACCAAGAAATTAATTTTACTTTCCTAAAATTAAATCGTTGATTTCATTTCTATATCACTTTTTGTTTACATTCCAGTACATTGTGCAGACAGTTGGAGATCTAAATTTGGAAGTATGTAAGGATCGAGATATGATATCGATCGAAATTACTAAAAATACTCTAGCATAATTGTAACTGCAGTTTTACAGAACTCTAAATGCTTAATGAATACACTTGCAGGTACCACCCGTATTCACACTCAGTATTTAGTTTAGTCATTTTCCAATACGAGATTGGGGACGTGTTCTATAAACAAACAGACAAACAATCATGGAAACTGGAAAGGTATCTGGATATTATTTGAAACAGTAGATGGCAAAATAACTCTCAAGCATTCTTCTTCATCATCATTCGGCTTAGCTATTACATATTATAAAACAATTTAAATGAGACATATCAGTTCCTTGATGGACATAAAATTAAACATTGAATACTAAGTTATGAAAATTAAAGTACATCCTGCAGTTTATCATATTAGATATAAACTGGATGAACTCCATGGTCATTGTATGCTTTGTGTATACTCATTATCATATCTTTTTGTTCTTCATCCATTGGTTGATGTTTTGTAAATTTTTTCATCATCTTATCCCCTTTCTTTGAATGAAAGTCTTCCTTGACCTGAAGTTCACTAATAAAGTTATCCAACACAACGTCTGCCATATGAAGCAGGGTGCATGATTTTTCCTTATTCCCAAATTCCGTAAGAATCCAAGCTTTATTAAAACTTTGGTTTTTTAGGACATTTTCGGGCTTGATGAAGCAAATACTCTCGAATTCCGTCCTCAACCGACGAAATTCGGTGGTCTTTTCTTGAAGTAGTTCTTCTCCGAATGCACGGACTTTCATTTTGAATATTTTGTGAAAAAAGTTGTATAATTGAACGTCTACGATATTGTATTTAAGAATTAGATCGGTCGTTTTCTGGCTAAGTTCGGAGTCTTTCCTACTCCCGGCTGTTAAGAATCGCTTCATGAAAAATATATCCTGGTACTCCCAGCCCATCTGTTCTTTGAGCAGAACTAAACTCTGGTCGAAGTAGTCTGTGAGGAGCACGAAATCAAATTCTTGTGCAAGATCCGCGATGAAGTCGTTTATCTTTTTTTGTAAAGTTCCGTCTCTAAGGAAATTATTAAGTTAAAATAAGACGAGCGCCGGTCAAAGCCGTTCCTCATATCATTGTCTTAAAAATAGTAACCTAGAATTTACTGGGCGGCACTCAGCGGTTCTTTTGCGATAGTCAAAACGCGACAACTAGCGCTGGATGGCGACAACTAGCGCTATCCAGCGCTAGTTGTCGCCATCCAGCGCTAGTTGTCGCTATCCAGCGCTGGATAACGCTGGCCAGCGCAAAATATATTTGTTCGATAATTGTCGCTATCCAGCGCTAGTTGTCGCCATCCAGCGCTAGTTGTCGCCATCCAGCGCTGGTTGTCGCTATCCAGCGCTAGTTGTCGCTGGCTATGCGACACTGTCGCACGCAATAGTTTGCGATGGCCAGCGCAACTGGCCATCGCAGAAAACAGTTCGATAACTAGCGCGCTGGCCAGCGCTGGATAGCGCTGGATAGCGACAACTAGCGCTGGATGGCGACAATTAGCGCTGGCCAGCGCTTGTTGTCGCTATCCAGCGCTAGCCAGCGCTAGCCAGCGCTATCCAGCGCTAACCAGCGCAAAGTATCAATTTTTGATAAATTTTCGATAAATTTTCGATAAATTTTCGCGACAAATAGCGCTGGATAGCGACAACTAGCGCTGGCCAGCGCTGGCCAGCGCTAAGCGATAGCCAGCGCTAGCCAGCGCTGGCCATCGATAGCCAGCGCAACATTTTTGCGATATTATTCGTCAGCTAGCGCTGGCCAGCGCTATCCAGCGCTAACCAGCGCTAGCCAGCGCTAGCCAGCGCTGGCCAGCGCAATGTATCAAAATCATATACTTGCGATATTACTCGTCAGCCAGCGCTAACCAGCGCTGGCCAGCGCTATCCAGCTAACCAGCGCTGGCCAGCGCTAGCCAGCGCTAGCCAGCGCTAGCCATATGGCTGTGTATTGCATACTGAGCCACATACTGGGGACCGCAGGCTATCATCTTCATAAACACAGAAAATAGGAATGAGGCCAAATGACAAATTGAGCTTTACCTAGGGACCCCAGGCTACTATGTTTATAAACATAGAATAGAGATAAACATAGAATAGAGATCCCGCGGAATGACAGGCTGAGCGCCGCCCAGTAAGTTGAGCTCCGCCCAGCTAGTAAGCCAACGCTAGCTGACGATTGTAGATGTACGTTTATAACCGTTCCTTTACATATAAATGCGCACCGAGTTGGACTTGGATTTGAAAAAATATTTCCAATTTAACGAGTATCACCCGCGTTAAGCTGACAAGAAATATCGCAAATATATTGCGCTGGTCAGTCAGTGTCAGCTGACGATAAATGATATCGCTAATATTTGATTTTGGTATATTGCACTGGCCAGCACTAACCAGCGCTAGCCATCGATTAATATCGCAAATATTTGATTTTTATAACATGCACTACCTAGCGCTGGTTTGTGGTTGACGAGTAATATCACAGTGCTGGCAAGCACGACCGTTGCATTTATTGTGGGTATACTATCTTCCCCATTTACTATTATACCCCCTTAACTATTATACCCCATTTACTATTATACCCCCTTTGGTACACGTTACAAGCCTCTTTTGTGCACGCGAAGCGTGCACTCCGGCCGGAGGCGGCGGCCGAAGGCCGCCGCCTCCGGCAGGAGTTTTCCAGGCATTAAGACTCATCGGAAGTCGTTAAGCAGAATTATTTTTAGTTCAAAACATTCTAATTTGATGTCAAAGATGACAGGAATAAAAAATAGTTATGTTGAGATTTTTAAGAAATTTGCATAAAATACTCGCCAGCACTGTTATACGAAATTCGGTAAAAAACCCAAAATCGCCATATTCAGGTGCCTTAAAAACCATGTTAAAATTGAGTTAGAGATCTGAAATTTTTCAGGGCGTCTAGACGTTGATCAAATCGACTGCAAAAAAAGTTTCAGGTTTCAGGAGTATCGGGAAATGGGTTTTCTAGAACCCCTGTTTTACGACAGATTGTCGTGATATATATATGGGTCCTAAGAACTCATGTGAGTATGCTGATTGTGCTATGGATAAGATTGATATTTTAGTTAACGAAGGAGATCTAGAATATGGCCCGCCTCATAGACCAGCATTCTGGGGTAGATTACGTGATGACATTTATATGGCTTGGCCCGGTACTGTTGAGGAATTATTACAATTCATGGAATGGCTCAATAGTATCCACCCAAACCTTTTGTTTACTTACGACTACTCTAGGGACGGCGTTGAGTTTCTAGACACCTATGTCTATGCTGTTGGTGATGTTGTCCACACCAAACTCTACTCTAAACCTAGTGACACCCACTGCTACCTTATCCCCACGTCATGCCATAGGAACCATGTTGTAAAAAACATACCTTTTGGAGTGGCAAGGCGGGTGAGACAGAACAACAGTGAAGACTCTAACTTCTTGGAGCAGAGAGAGGTCTATACACGTTACCTTCTAGCCCGAGGTTATCATTCCAGTATTATAGAAGATGCCTTTAACAAATTTAGTGATATAGCTAATAGGAAAAACTTGTATACCCTTAAAGACAAGGATGAGTCGACTGCCTGTTTAATACCCATGGTGATGGATCAAAATCCAGCACTTCCCAACATGGGGGGCATTATCCATAAGTATAAGCACCTTCTCAACCTTGATCCGGCCCTGAAGAAGCTGGTACGTGCGGACAGTGTATTCGTGAGTCATCGAAAGAATCAAACTATCGGTGGCATGCTTGTACACAATAAGTACCGTGCCAGTGGAACTTTAAACTGTGATAATGAGAGAGAAACAACTGCAAGCCAGATCCAGGAACCAGACTCCGAAAGTCTAAGGGCGGTTCCCGGGGCTGTCGACCCAGGGTGCCATGCTTGTGGTAAATGTTATGTTTGTAAGCAAAATTTCCTGTCCCCCTGTTCCAATTTTAGTAGTCACCATTCTAAACAAGTTTTCCCTATAACTAAGTATATATCTTGTCAGAGTTATAACCTCATTTATTTAATGGAGTGTAAGACTTGTAAACAGTCGTATGTCGGTTATACTACCTCAAATCTCCCTAAGAGATTCTCTAACCATAAGAGTCACATAAAGAAAGGTATAAGAAGTTGTAAATTAGTTAACCATTTTTTAGATATTGATCATGATTTAGATTTTAGTACCATAGCCTGCTATAATTCCTCACTTAGTAAGCACCTTTCTGTCATTATAGTAGACGCTTTAGTATTTGAGCCTAATATTAGTAAAGCAGACAAAGAAAAGGCTATGGAAGCTAGAGAGGGGTTCTACCAGACCCAACTGAAAACCCTTGAACGGTTTGGGGGTATGAACACCCTTGATAGTAACCATCTACTTTTTAAATCTGCCGGAGCTTAGTTTTAGTTTTAGTATATTTTGTAGATTTTATTTAGTTATACCATTATTCCAGAGACGTGCATATTACATTTTTTACTTAAGTATAAATTTTACAGGTTTTTGTTGTGATTTTAAGTGATTTTCCGAGAATCAGTTATCAGTATTTAGATAAGAGATAAGATAAGAGTACATTTTTAACGGCTTTCAGTTTCTTTTTTAAATTTCAGTTCATCAGATTTTCCCACTGCTTTTAGTTTGTATTTATTCTCAACTGTATATGATTCGTATTTGTTATAGTTACTTTAATGATATAATTTCTCAGAATTGATGTAAATAAACGATGCAAAGACTTTCGAAGATCTAATCACAACCGCTTTCTTTTATTGTGTAGAAGTCCAGCCATGAAATATATATATACATATTCAGGGATAGACGCTTTGCCAGTCAATTGTAGCCTGTATTTAATTGTCCATAGATTCAAAAGTATAAAAGATAAAGCCATTTCCGACCACAGGTCTTGCAAATAATTGTTTACACTCTAGTTTACATTGTATAAAAAAATTATTTGACGTCATAAACACCCCTTGATGACGTCATCAAGTTAACCGTTTTTAAAACTTGATTTTTGACAAAGTAATAACTTTTAAAATTAATTTTAAACCATTAAGGAGTAATTTTATTCAAAATCTGAGGAAATTTTTACCTTAGATAATTGTTCAAGCATTCTGAAAATCTACCGGAAAGTTTTTCTAGCTTGCTCCTTCATAAAGATATTCGTCATTGAAGTTTGTGCTTTTTTGAAGAATTATTTTATAAAAACGTCAATTTTGCGATTTAGTATTCTCTGGTGTTGGGCCATGCCTTGAGTTGAGGAGCTCAGTTCTGCTTCCTATAGGTATAAATTGTGCATTAGGCTAGTTTTGAAGTTGAAAATCGAAAAGTTGCACACGTGGGGACACGCCCAAATTGATAGAAAATTGCTAAAATCACTGAAAATTGCTGTTTTCGTCATTTTCTGTCAACTTTAGAGTGCCGTTGTGATTACAGTTCTTCTTGAAATACTTTGAAACTTTGCATGCTTATCAAGCTATATATAAAACAATTACATGCAAAAATTTACGGCGATTCAATATTGGATGCGCACGCAACGTCCGCTCAAAGTTTGCACGTGCGAAAGGTGAGAATTTTGCTCATTCGTGATTTCCAACAAATTCTGCTTTGCCACGACAGTTTAATGTCATTATATATGAATTTAATGCCAACTTGAATGAGTATTAGGTGGCATATTCAGTCAGTGATCGACCGATATGCTTACCTAAACACAAGGAAATGTTTTTAAAGGAAAATTTCGAAATCGTTGAAACTTCCTCCTTATTAATTAATGAAGATATCAGTTTATATTTCGACTTTATAAAGTACCCTGACATTATAATCAAAAAGAGATGATATTTTACCAAAACCCATATTCATGGGTAGAGTGGACCGCTGCCAGTGTCTCTCTTTCCCAAACAAAAGGAAATGATATTAATTTGATTGACCGTTCTCAAATGCAAAATGATACCGAGAATGAAATCGGTCGCTCGCTTTTCCCATTCATTTACAATTGTAATAGATTAAGAAGATCTACCCAAAGGCAGCTGTACTCGGCAATAAAGATTCAATAAACTTCAGCTAATTCAATAAGCAATAACTACTACCCTTACCCCGAAATACTAGGTATCGATCCGAACGCAACCCAAAGAGATTTTTACAGCATCTGACTGATGTAATCAATCGAAATTTATTACAATTCGTAAGCCGTGAATGAATGGAAAAAGCGAGCGACCGATTTCATTCTCGGTATCATTTTGCATTTGAGAACGGTCAATCAAATTAATATCATTTCCTTTTGTTTGGGAAAGAGAGACACTGGCAGCGGTCCACTCTACCCATGAATATGGGTTTTGGTAAAATTGAAAGTATATGATTTTGATGCATTGCGCTGGCCAGTGATGGCTAGCGCTGGCTAGCGCTGGCTAGCGCTGGCTAGCGCTGGCTAGCGCTGGCTAGCGCTGGCTAGCGCTGGATAGCGCTGGCTAGCGCTGGTTAGCGCTGGATAGCGCTGGATAGCGCTGGATAGCGCTGGATAGCGCTGGATAGCGCTGGCCAGCGCTGGTTAGCGCTGGCCAGCGCTGGCTGACGAGTAATATCGCAAGTATATGATTTTGATACATTGCGCTGGCCAGCGTTGGCTAGCGTTGGCTAGCGCTGGCCAGCGCTGGCCAGCGCTGGATAGCGCTGGATAGCGCTGGCCAGCGCTGGTTAGCGTTGGATAGCGCTGGATAGCGCTGGCCAGCGCTAGCTGACGAATAATATCGCAAAAATGTTGCGCTGGCTATCGATGGCCAGCGCTGGCCAGCGCTAGTTGTCGCTATCCAGCGCTATTTGTCGCGAAAATTATCGAAAATTTATCAAAAATTGATACTTTGCGCTGGTTAGCGCTGGATAGCGCTGGCTAGCGCTGGCTAGCGCTGGATAGCGACAACAAGCGCTGGCCAGCGCTAGTTGTCGCCATCCAGCGCTAGCCAGCGCTAGCCAGCGCTAGCCAGCGCTGGCCAGCGCGCTAGTTATCGAACTGTTTTCTGCGATGGCCAGTTGCGCTGGCCATCGCAAACTATCGCGTGCGACAGTGTCGCATAGCCAGCGACAACTAGCGCTGGATAGCGACAACCAGCGCTGGATGGCGACAACTAGCGCTGGATGGCGACAACTAGCGCTGGATAGCGACAATTATCGAACAAATATATTTTGCGCTGGCCAGCGTTATCCAGCGCTGGATAGCGACAACTAGCGCTGGATGGCGACAACTAGCGCTGGATAGCGCTAGTTGTCGCCATCCAGCGCTAGTTGTCGCGTTTTGACTATCGCAAAAGAACCCACTCAGCCTGTCATTCCGCCTAATCTCTACTCGGTTTATGAACATTATAGCCTGGGGTCCCCAGGTAAACTAGAATTTAAATTCTATATATTATAATACCTTTCTAAATATTTATCAAATCCAAGATCTTTAGATATCCCGTTAACAATGTCTCCCAGGTAGCAGGAAGTATTATTTGGTTCTAGCACAGCTTTATTAGCATCCAACCATTTTGATATAGTTTTGTCCAAAGATAAAAGTTTTCCATCATCACCTTCCCTCTGAAAATTGTTCGCTATTAAGTTCACACCAAAATGTTAAAACTTTTACCTTAATTTAATCAAAATATCATGTCCATTGAGCATGCGTTCATAATATGATAAGGTGGACATCGAGGGCAGGACTAAAGGCATGAACATGTTTCAATCGGCATACTTTCAACTTTTCAAGACAAACGAATAACGATTTTAAAGTTCAAATTGAAAATTTGCTTACGTTATGCTTATCTGCGCCATAGTAAACAAATGCTGAAATAAATCTTTTGATAGGAGATCGAATAATTGTTGTGTAGAAAGTGCGGAACTTGGGAAGAATCTCATGCTGCCTTTCAGGCTTAAACCTAACATGAGCGATTTGAAAGTTGTAGTCTCCACCAGGTCGCGGAGGAAGCAGAGGTCTGAAATAGAACAAAATTTAGAGAAAAGATAGGTAGAATGCCAACAAACTAAGTCATAGAGACATGTCGGGTAAAGAATAAAAGGTAAGAGATATTCAAATTATCCACTTGTATGTCAATCCGCACAAGTGTTGGCCAGTTACGCTATCGTTCCGATTAAAAGTATTAATATTAGTAACAAAACTATTGACTTTAATGCAAATGGCTCCACCCACTGCCTTGAATGGCTTTATAGTTCATATGGCTTCGCATCATATGATTTTGAAGGATCTGAACAATACGACGGCACAAAAGCACTTAATAATTCATAAGTATTTCAAACTTCAAAGTGTATCCTTTATATCGGTATGCGATTCACCAAACTTTTTAAAGCTTGGTAACTTCAAAATAACACACACTATGCACGCAATTCATATATTATCTCTTTATAACTTAAAATGCTTACTTCTCTAAGTCGAGTTGCCTTGACCAAGGTTGGGTGACGAAGTTTAGCCGCCTCCTTATTCCGAATAGATAAAACATATTTACCAAGGTGGAAGTGCCACATTTGTGAGTCTTAAGGAACAAGAAACTGTCCTCTTTTCCCTTGGGTACCTGAAGCCCTTCTCCCACTATTTTGAATTCCTGTATTCCTGATTCCTCGGTAGTTTCATCAGTAGGTATAGGCTCCGTCGTGGTGAGTTCTGTAAACGTTTGGGTAGAAGTGGGGGGTTGTGTAATAGAAGTTTGGGTAGAAGTTTGGGTAGAAGTTTGGGTAGAAGTTTGGGTAGAAGTTTGGGTAGAAGTTTGGGTAGAAGTTTGGGTAGAAGTTTGGGTAGAAGTTTTGGTAGAAGTTTGGGTAGAAGTGGGGGTTTCTGAAGAAGTTTGGGTAGAAGTTGTGGGTTGTGTAGAAGCTGCTTTTTCGTTAGTTGTAAACTCTAGCTGTTGTTGCTGATCTGCTATGTGGATTTGCTCCGGAGAGATAAGATCTGTACTGATAAGATTCGGTGGATCTACTGAAGATTGAGGGATGTGTCCTGTGAAGCTGTAAACGATAACCACGAAACACACCACAAGGAGTATTGATAAAAAGAGTCTGTCAAATTTACGGAAGCCCATAATTCTCATTTTGGATAATAATGATTGATCTGCAGGGCTAGAATTCAGCTGTTTTTGACAACCAATCATGTCGATAGTCTCGCTATCTGGAGCTATATGTTGTGCCATTAAGAAATGCAGGTATTATTACGAAACAAACAAGTCCACACGCTTGCAAACACTTAGATGTGAGAAATGAAATACTAATAATCTGATGATGAGCATGATTATAATCTGTCTATTAGACACCGAATACGTGGACTACAAGAAATACAAGGTATTCACATACACCACCTGGAATTGGATGGAACAGTACTATACATTTTCATACAAATCATGATGGCAAACTCTTTAGTAGAAAGGCGGCATGAGCAGCTTATCACCAGAGTAACTAGTAACAACCCTCCGATGATAGAAGACGGCGAGGAACCCCCTGCAGAAACAGAAATGACCGATGGTGCTCAGGCAGCAAAGGAGTTAACTGGATAGTTTATCACCACAGGCACATCCTGGCCTCCTGAGTCGGACAAGAGAGTAGAGATTCTGCTGGAGGACTTAAAGCGCACTATAGAACATGCTCCTAAGAAAAAGATGAAGACCAACATGACCCATCTTGAAGGCCTGTTATGGTGTCACGAGAATATAATGTTAAGGACATCACATATCCCAGTAATAAAATTGGTACTCTAGAGTATAAAACAGTCGGTCATTTTTGCTGAACTTTTAATGAATTCGCAGTGATTAAGAGATGACAGATTACAAACTAGGGCTTAGTTCAAATGTGCCACTGATTTGCAAAAAACAATAAAAAACTATTGTCCGTTATAATTATTTTGACAAAGAAAATTTGAATTATTATTATCGAATTTTTTTTGAGTCAATTTTAGCATATTTGTATATTGTAATTGCAGTTCATAGAATCATAAATAAACTGGATGAACTCCATGGTCATCGTATGCTTCTTGTATACTCATTACCATATTTTTCTGCTCCTTATCCATCGGTTTATTTGTTGACGTCCATTTTTCCATTATCTCGTCCCCATTTGGTAAGGTAAAGTCTTTCTTAACCTGCAGTTCACTGATAAAGAAATCCAAAACAATGTCTCTCATATGAAGCAATGTGCATGACTTTTCCAGTTCCCCGAATTCCGTAAGAATCCAATCTCTGTTAAAACTTTGGGATTCAAGAAAATCATCTGGCTTGATATAGCACTGATTTTCGAATTCCATCCTTAACCGACGAAATTCGGCAGTCTTTTCTTTAAGTAATTCCTCTCCAAATGCACGGACTTTCATTTTGAACATTTTGTAAAAGAATTGGTGTAATTGAACGTCTACGATATTGTACTTAAGTATTAGATCGGTCGTTTTCTGGCTAAGTTCGGAGTCTTTCCTACTCCTATCAGCTGTTGTGAACCGCTTCATGAAAAATATATCCTGGTACTCCCAGCCCATCTGTTCTTTGAGCAGAACTAAACTCTCGTCAAAGTAGTCTGTGAGGAGCACGAAATCAAATTCTTGTGCAAGATCCGCGATGAAGTCGTTTATCTTTTCTTGTAAAGTTCCGTCCCTTGAAGAATTATTGTTTAGTGAACAGTTGACGGGCAAATAATAATATTATGTCTTAATTGAACTGACCATAATGCAAGATAATTTAACCTTTTGATCAATTTATAGCTTTGCAAAGTAATCCATCATGGTGAATACTCAATAGAATATTCGGTGCGATAACGTTTACGGTTTACCCTTATTAAAAACATAATTTTTTTCCATTGCAATATTTAGTTAGAGATTATTAGAATAAGACATAAAATGTATCTTTACCTTTCTAAATATCTCCCAAATCCGAGATCATAAGATAAACCGTTTATCACATAATTGAGTATTAATGAGCTATCTGTTGGTTCAAATTCAGTTCCATGAATATTAAAATACTTTAATATGGTATCATCCAAAGATAAGAGTTCGCCATCATTGCCGTATTTCTGAAAATAAACCGATATTAAAACATAAATTCAATATTCACTGAAAGACAAAAGTACCCCTGTCTTCTTCCTGATCCTAGACGACCAACTTACAATTATAAAATTATTTAAGCCATAAAGAACGAACAATATTGATCCTGATTCTACAAAGAACGAGGGAGATATAAAGGCATTATATTGTATTTATTTTATTTTAAGAATAACATCATAACAGTGCTATCGAAACAAACTTACAATGGTTAACTTAAAATTTTGATTTACTTACGTGGTTCCTATCAACATTAAAATAGTCGAAAGCAGAGTTAAATCGTTTGATAGGAGAGCGAACGATTGTTGTGTAGAAAGTGCGGAACTTGGGAAGAATCTCATGCTGCCTTTCAGGCTTAAACCTAGCATGAGCGATTTGAAAGTTGTAGTCTCCACCAGGTCGCGGAGGAAGCAATGTTCTGAAATTTATCAAAGATTAGAGAAAAGACGGGTGAAAATCAAACAAACAAGCATAATAGCCAACTATACCCTTCGATGACAACGATGAAAATTGCACCATTTAATGTCACTGGCTCTGATGGTGTTACTGTTATATCATAGCTGTACAATGCACATCAAATGATGTTATTGGTCATTGTCTTGCACATTCAATATTGGCTTTGGGTGCATTTTCGCTGATGGCAGAATTAAATGATCTATAATTGTGTCAGAAATGTATTCAATGTTGGGTACAGTTGGCATTAACAATATTATTAGTTTCATAGTATAGGCTAATTTACCATATAATATAGACAAAGCAGATATCTAAAGGCCAACTTGTTAATTTTGAACTTAACACTTCACATTGCGACTGCTCGAAAATTTTATAATTTAAGATACATACTTTTCTATGTCGAGTTGCCTACTCCAAGGATTGGTGACGAAGTTTAGCCGCCTCCTTATTCCGAATAGATAAAACATATTTACCAAGGTAGAAGTGCCACATTTGTGAGTCTTAAGGAACAAGAAACTGTCCTCTTTTCCCTTGGGTACCTGAAGCCCTTCTCCCACTATTTTGAATCCTTGCAATCCTGATTCCTCGGTAGTTTCATCAGTAGGTATAGGATCCGTTGTGGGGGATTCTTTAACAGTTTGGGTAGAAGTTTGGGTAGAAGTTTGGGTAGAAGTTTGGGTAGAAGTTTGGGTAGAAGTTTGGGTGGAAGTTTCTGTAGGAGTTTCTTTTTCGTTCGTTGTAAACTCTAGCTGTTGTTGCTGATCTGCTATGTGGGGTTTCTCCGGAGACAAAAGATGTTTATTGATAAGAACCAGGGGATCTACTGAAGATTGGGAGAGATAGCTGGTGATGCTGTAAAAGAGAACCCCGAAACTGACTATCAGAAATATTGATGAGAATAGTTTTTCCAATTTACTGATGCCCATAAATCTCATTTTGGATGGTAATGATTGCTCTCCAGAGCTAGTGCCACTTTTAGCAACTGACCTTGTTGATAGTCGAGCTATCTGGGGTTTAAAAGAAATAAAGGTATTATTACGAAACAAACAAATCCACACGCTTACAAATTCTCAAGAAAGCAGAAGGAAAACACAAAAGAAGAAAACATCCTCTCTCTCATCAAAGCAGCGTAAGATGAGCTACAAAGATGAAATAAAGCTGGCAACATATGATTGATAAGCTCAGATAGGATCTAGGAGGATTTCTATGAGAACTGAGTTGTTCTAGCTGTTAAAGAATGTTTTTAATTTTTGATGAGGGATATTTATTATTCTTCTCAACAGAACAAATCAGTTCGTCTGTGTATAATCATAAACAATGAGCACTGAACATAGATGCATGGATGGATCTTTGGATGATTAAAATGTGATCTCTACGGAACTGTATGCTCACTAAATTGAACAAACTACACGTAAGTTTCCAATACAACTACAAGAGTGTGATTGAAATTAAAAGCGCTAAACAAGGCTCACTCCGTGTATTATACTTAGTTGTAGTGAACGCTGAACTTAGTCGTACTGAACGTACGTTCCAATCATTTTGTAGTGAACGTTTGTGAACGTTAGTGAACGTTAGTCAATATTTTGATAATTTTTCCGATAGTTTTTAACTTTAGATGGATACAATGAGATAAAACGATGTTGTCGAAATTATACTGTAAATAAACAATGATGAATAAAAATAAGTCACTAGTATAGCAAATAGTAATGAAATTATTGCTCCTTAATTCGTGAATTGTTCATAAGACGCAAACTTGCGTTAACATAAATAAGGTCTCGCTGCTTGTCAACTGTGAGGCGGTTTCTTTTTTGTTTATCAACCAGTACAGTCGTACAAGCTCCAATTCGTCTCACAGGGTGAGGCTGACGTCGATAGCGACAGCGCTTTCATTGCAAAACTCTGTAGTTCGGGTACCTCGCAACCGAAGTTGCTCCACCAAGAGGCTAGATCGTCAGAATCTTGGCTAAAACTTGAGGCAGCGTCAGTAGAGAATAAGCCTCTTTTCTCTCGGTAGAACGTGTACTGCGAAAGTATCTTCTTCTTTGTTGCGCCGTCACACCACGTGTCCATGACATCTAGAAACTCCTTCCAGACATCCTGATTCGTGTGCTGATCATATCCCTGATAAGCTGGGTGAACACAAAACCCTACTGAATGTAGGGGGAATGGAGCTCGAGCCACCTTTTGTTGGCAAGACTAACCATATCACTTTTATGGTTTCTATTGCGGAAAGCAAAATTTGCTAACTTTAAGGTGAACAGATAATATTTGTAATAAATTACACCGATGAAACCAACAGGAATCTTAAGACTATTGTCTGAAAATCTAAGCAAGACTATTATCGGCTCAAGAATTGAGCATAAATAGTCGACTTCTATCCAGAAATGGGGGTCAAACACTAAATCTTAAGCGCACTCAAACAAATTCTTGTATGCATTACTTTTATTGCTAACAGACTCAGTAAGGGTTGACTTATCAATATAAGTCTCAATCAAAGTATCCTTGGAACCCTTCAGTCTCTCTAACATAATAAACTGGGTGGCAAACCGAGTTTCCCCTGGTTTTAGCAAATTGACATGAGAATGGGTTCTAAACGTTTTTAGAGTCATGTCGTGATTCTTCACATTTGTAACTATTTTGTTACAATTCGACAATGTCTCCTTGGTCCAGCTCAACTTCCCGACATCCTCGGCAAGAAGATCGAACTGGTGGGTTAAACAGCATGATCCTATGATGTATCCGGCATTTAAATTTCATAATAGCTATTAACGTTCCTTATGTTCCGAACGTTAAAATCTTTTAGCGAACGCGTTCACAAACTATTTTTAGTGAACGTTCCGTACGTTCACTACAACTAAGGTATTATAATAAGACGATTTTTTCATAAGTGACGTGTTCAGTGTCCACATGAGGTTGTTGTACATAAGTATGTACAACAAGATACAACCTCATGGGGAACGTCACACATAAGAAAAACGTCCTGTGACATTTCCACATCCGATGTACCCTCACTACAAGCTTGTACAATTTAACTGTAAGTGGGAGTGGAACTATATAAACCTAGAACGTAATTTAGAACGATCAATGATTTTGATTCAATGTGTTCACTGTTCACTGTTCAGCTTAATATTTTCATGAAGCTTGATCTCGAGATTGTATTTGACCAACAATCTAGGGCTTAATTTGTAATCAAAATATCATATTCCCTGGTAGGCCCATAACAAGATCTTTCTGGGCTGCATCCATTGGTTCATGTTTTCCATTTTTTCATAATCTAATCTCCATTTGGTGAAGTAAAGCCTTCCTTGACCTGAAGTTTACTGACAGAATAATACAACACAATGTATTTTATGTGAAGCAATGTGCATAACATACGGAACAGTCCTGAAGATCCTGAAGTCCAAAAGACTAAAAGGTTGTAAAATGGGAATGAAAGGAATATGATACGTGCAAAAATTGTCAGTATCCAAGAAGCCCGACTCAGTTCGTGGACCACTTATAACATCTGCTTTCTATTTATAGCTTCATTATTACTTTATGGATATCATTTACACTCGAGATGACTTATAGTACTAATAAAACGAGAAACTGGGTTCTAAAACGTCGTGGACAGGCTCACAAACGGACAATTTGAGTCCAACTATAAACTGACAGAGACTATTGCCATGCCTGACGTTTCATCGAGTATTATGATAATATCTTGGAGCTGAAGATATTTCACAAATATTCAGACGATTCAGAAAGAAAGGGATTCTCAGTACATTTTGTCAACTTCAAGAATATTTGCCGACACATATTCAGTGAAAGGGAAGAATAGGATTGATATATTAAAATTCTTATTGAAATTCTGCAATTTTTGAAGTTTGCAGTTATCGTAAAACAAAAGATATGCTGCTAATTTAACTAGGACGAAAATTAATATTAAGTTATCACATTTTATTAAAGCACTATGAGCAGTTCATTAAATCAAACATAAACTGAATGAACTCCATTCTCATTACCATATCTTTATATTTTTCATTCATTGGTTGCCCCCTTGTCCATTTTTCCATCATCTCATCCCCATTTTTTGAATGAAAGTCTTCTTTAACCTGAAGTTCACTGACAAAGAAATTCAAAGTAGCATCTTTCTGAATAAGCATTGTACATGATTTTTCTTGTTCCCATAATTCTGTAAGAATCAAACGGTTAATTAAACGTTGGGCTTTAGGAGCATCTTCGCGCTTGATGAAGCACCGGTTCTCAAATTCCATCCTTAACCGACGAAATTCAGCAGTCTTTTCTTTAAGCAATTCCTCTCCGAATACACGGATTTTCATTTTAAATATTTTGCGGAAAAAGTTGTATAATTGAACGTCTACGATATTGTACTTAAGTATTAGATCGGTTGTTTTCTGGCTAATTTCGGAGTCTATCCTACTCCTATCAGCTGTTGAGAATCGCTTCATGAAAAATATTTCTTGGTACTCCCTGCTCATCTGTTCTTTGAGCAGAACCAAACTCTCGTCGAAGTAGTCTGTGAGGAGCACAAAGTAAAATTCAAAATCAAGATCCGCGATGAAGTCGTCTATCTTTTTTTGTAAAGTTCCGTCTCTAAGGAAATATTAAGTTAAAATATAACAAGCAAATAACAATCTTTTGATGTATCTTTTGATATAATTATTATATTGCCCATAATGACCGCGATACAATCTTTCGTGATAAAACATTTTACAGCAAGATTGGTACCGATAAGAAAGTTGACCCTAAGATAGGGTATCTAAGATAAAGTTAGAAATAAGAACGAAGTATAGTCTATTTTTACCTTTTTAAATATTCGCCTAAGTGCAAAGGTCTGCAGATAAAGCGTTGACCACATAATTTCCAATAAAGCACGAAGTATTTGTTGGTTCAAACTCAGTTGCATGTGTCAAAACCACTTTAAATTAAGATAGTATCATCCATGGAGAGAAGTTCACCATCATTACCCTGCATCTTAAAAATATATCGATATAAATTAAAGTGACTATCCGATAGAAACTCAAAAGTTATCATTTCCTCTCCCCGACCTCACATAAAACGTAACATTAATATTAGGTAATCCGGTAGATTCGTGTAGTGTTATTGATTCTCATGATTTGATAGTTCTTTCATTCAAATTTCTGATTGTTTCTGAATAGACTCAGTGAAGACAGATTCTAATGGAAATATATAGCTGAATAACGTATTGACATTTCTACGTCATACTCATATTCTGAAATAGTATTAATTCAATTATAACGATCAATATTCACATTAAAAATTTGACGACGAAATTTATTTCAAACAAAATATATAACTGTAAAATAGTTATCTACTGTAAAATAGTTTTTAACGAAATCAGAGCAAATATGAACATAAAACTGACAAAATTTATCAAATAGGGCTCATCTGAAAATTAACGAATAGCGTGACGTGTACAGGAGATAAAAGATTAAAAGAGATAAAAGAAATTAATGGGCAGCAGAGGAGTGAAATTTAAACGAAAATATTACTATTTACACGTCACTCAACTAAAAACTGTGTTAGATTGTTCAACTCTGTTTTATCGTTGAGTGTTGGTTTCTTTTAACTTTTCAACTAAAAATCGGGCTTCTTTAATCTTTCTGTTGATGAGTGATGTTCATTGTTCCTCTATCAACGATTTGAAGTTTAAGCTGGGGGGGGGGGGGGGGGGGCCTGTGTGCTGAGGATGACTTTCCCGGTAGTGCTTTGCTAGTGGCTTATCTTCGTAAGATTTTGCTGTTGGATTTTCCGCACTACGGTAATGTTCGTCGAACCTGCACTTGATTGGTCTGTATGTTTCCCCACCATAGTTAACTCGTATCGGTGCAATTGTCTACTTCGCAAGTGATGTGGTAGACGGTGTTAGTTGTGGTGCATTCTCCATCGGTTAAAGCTGCGCATGTTCTGCAGTTTGATGTTGTGCAGGATTTCTTGTCAAGGGGTCTGGAGTCTGTAAGTGGACTCCCCATCACAATTGTCGAG